TTTTTGTGAATTTTCTTGAAATAAAGGCAGTGAAAATATAATAATGAAAATAAAGTGAAAAATCGACAATTCTGTATGAGAGGTACCCGTAAACCGCACCTCATTGCCTTTAAACTTTCTGAGGTTTCATTTATTTGAGAAAAAATAAGATTCTGAAAGTTTCATGTTGATCGCATTTGCCATCAATTTTTTCCAAGAAAATTTCGACAAAAATTGAGGACAAAAATTGAGGACAAAAAATCAAACTTCTGCAAATGCGATCAACATGAAACTTTCAGAATCTTATTTTTTCTTCAAAAAATGAAACCTCAGAAAGTTTGAAGCCAATCAGAATCGATCAACGGGTACCTCCCATACAAAATTGTCCAAAAATCGGTAATTTTAGTCAAAATTTCAAAAAATTCGTATGGGAGGTATGCGTAAATCGATTCCGATTGGTTTCAAACTTTCAGAATCTTATTTTTCTCCCAAAAAATGAAATCACAGAAAGTTTGAAGCCAATCGGAGTCGATTTACAGGTACCTCCCATTAAAAAATTTCAATTTTTTGACATTTTTCTTAGGGCAAGTACCCCAGGGTCAAATCGAAAATGGCTCATCTTCGAACTTAAACTAAGTTTTTCGGATACAAAACTTTTGGAACTTTCAGATTTGGATTATCTAAATTATTTTTTGAGTTATCGTGTTTACAAACAGCTACGACAACGACGACAACGACGGCACACGAACGGAAAAGTGTCTCAAAAAGTGGTTTTCTACGTTTCATGACTTTTTATGATGATCTAAGCTAATTTTGCGAAAAAAGTTTTCGGGACCAATTCCTATACTTTCCCTTGACACGTTGTGTACGGAAAAGTAAAAGAACGAAAAAGAGCAATCACTCTATGTGACTTCAAGTGCGGGTGTTGGATTGGTCCGTCTCGTCGACGAATGCTAAAAATGTGATCACATTTGACGCGGGCGCTCGCTTATTCGCTTTCATTTAATACTTTTTGTTTCACATTCAGTGTCAGTCAGTGCATGCATCTGCATTTGATGTTTTGCTATAATAATTGCCAACAATTCTAACTGAATTTCCAGATGGAAATTCATTTATTTCTCTTTATTCTCTTCGCTCATTCTTTTGAATATAAGAATGGAATATTTAATGTGTGTTTATATGTACACGTATATCATTTTGTGTTGCTGTCGTCAAGTACGCAACATTACGTCTGTCTGAATGAATTGCAATGCTTTGGATGATGCGTCTGATATGCTGGCAGATGTGGCAGCGCAGCATTTTCTCGCGGTTTCACTTTCAAATTGGAGAGTTGGTTTTATATTTACATCGGGATCATAATGTTGAGAGAGAGAGAGGGAGAGAGAGAGAGAGCGAGCAAAAAAAGAAAGCCCACAATGACAAAACATTGCATTTTACTAATCTGGACGGTGAGCAGCCAACAATACGTAGGAGATTTTAAAAAAAACAACAACATACACACAAACACAAAAACCATCGTCGGTTTTGGCTGGAAAATAAACCACGAAAACCGAAGAGAAAGAGAGACAGTGAAAGGAGAAGAAAAAAAAAACAAAAAATATTTCTACGCTGATAATTCATCTGCAGATGATTGCAATTACACTTCGTCTCGATTGGATCGAATGCGAAACTCTTGAAATAGTGTGACTATCGAGAGCAAATGGTATTTGCTTAACTTTTCTACTCGACTGCAATGTTTTTCTCCAACACCGGCATGCAAAAAGACAATGGCAAAGTAAAGCCATCCAGTGGATGATGAACGAAACTCTCGTCTTTTCGTGAAGAAAAAAAAAATGATCGAATTTACACCAATACCAAAATACCATCACATTTATGTCATGCCAAACTTTTGTTATATCGGAATGTTTAAATGGGTTGCAGAGATTCGAAAGAGGGCTAATATGATCAAGTTGGGATATGTTGTTTTTGGTGATACCCACTTTTGTTCTGAGTTCGTTAGATTTTTTTTCTTCTTCTGCGTTTTGTGTGCACTTTTTCTTTACATAGTTTCGATGGTTGTTGTTGTTGTCTTTTTTTCTTCATTTTTTGATGCGCCACCCCGAAAATGAATAGTATACGAAACGAGACGGCAATTGTCATTTGAACTTTGATAAATCGATGGGGAACAAAAAGAAAATCCTATCTCAGCAATAAAATTCTATGATATTCCAAGAATTTCGGTCGTTTCAATGTATTTTCAATAAACTTTTCTCTCTCTGTCTTGCTCTGTGTTGGTGTTACTTTTGCAATAATATGTTGTTGCCCCATTGTTGGTTGAATAGCATTAAAAATTTCGAGCACACTTTGTGTGAAATCAACAAATATGCCATCCAAACACCAAATCGAAAAAAGAAACGAAGACACAAGAATTGGGACCACCTCTTCGTAAACTTTATTTTGTTACAACACACAAAAAGCACATAGACCAAGCAAACAAGTAAGTACAAGACAAGCGAACGCGGCGACCGAGTGAGAAGTAAGAGCGATAGCAAAAGCAAGAGCAAGACCTTGGATGTGACACTTGTGACATCCTGATCATGTTGAGAATGAACTTATTTCAATTCCAATAAACATTTTTTTTCTCTTGCATGCACACACATATACACAGTAACACAGAAGCAAGCGTTTTTATTTCTTCTTTCTGTCTGTGCTTAACATATGCTCCAACTTACTAATGAACTTTTTTCCGTTGTTGCTTCTCTTCTTCAGCATAATATGCGTCCGAAATCGGATTCACCCGAAGATTTAAATGGTAAACAAGTTTTTGTTGTCGTTTCCTCAACAAATAAGATTTGTGCTGCAATTCCCTCCGATGGGAATAGGCGAAATAAAAATCATTTAGAAAAATGTATGAGCGACTGTCGTAAATTTTCTTGGTTCGTAAGTTTGAATGATTACGGAAATTATTCACTGTAATAGGAGAAAAGGAAAAGAGAAGCATAGAGTTCGTTTGTTGTATACCATCTGAAAAGAGCGTAGCTGCTGCTACGGCCGTTCGTACATATTCTGTGGTGTCCATTAATTCGACAGATTCATTCAAATGAGATCGAATCGGATGCGTATGTGTATGTGTGCTTGTTCGCTGCGTTACAAATGAAAGTGACGTGGATTATTTGATGAGCTTTGGTTTCTATTTATTCCATTTATTAATGTTGTCTATCATATTGATGCTGCTTTAACAGGCTCGCATTCTCTCACTCTGAACTTGTTCTTGGAATGTAAAACATGCGTGAAATGCCATCAAAAATGAATGTTCTTCACAAATAAGGCGTCTAGCGTGTGTTTGCTCAGCAACACATCAACTCATTTGGCGAATATTACCATTTTCTGAAATACGATAGCATTGAACCGTGTCATTATTTAGTGTATGTATGGACGATGGCTTAATACAACAGCGTTAAAATTTGACATCTAAACTTGTCGATGCGATTGCAACGCATAATTCAAAACACAAGAGCACTTGCGAACAATTTTTGGTCACACGATGCGCCCAACGATTTCCAACTTGGGCGGGAAAATTGGAAATGTCATACCGTATTATTTGTGCTGTATAAACAATACAGTGGATTTTTAATTGAATTGCGCTGAAAACTTTGTGAAAAGTGATCAATTTTAATTTTAATCGAGTGTGCAAAACCGCCAAAAACATCTGAATGAAAATGTGCTAACCGAAGCGTTGACCACAGTCAACATGCAATCCAATGAATTTTGGTTCGGGCTAAGTTTTCACGACGAAGAATAAATTTCCAATTTCGGATGTGCTTTTCGTATACAAACACATTTGACATGCCAACAAACAAGTTGTTTTTACAGTTTGTCGGCCACAAAATTTGTGGTACAAACTCATTTGAATTGGACGACGACAACGACGACAAGTATTCATCGTACATAGGTTGCCATTGAAACCATTTATATTCCGTTAAAAAGCATTTTGAGCTGAAAGTTTTGAGATTCTTGTGCGGTTTACGGTGAACGGAACAGCCAAATGTTTGATTGTTTCAGTTGAAAGTCATGAATGAAATCGTCAACCGTCGCTTGATCCGTGCTGAGTGTGTGGCAAAGTCGAATGGAGAGAGAGAGAGAGAGAGAGAGTGAGTGAGTGAATTGAGAGCGCATGCGTGGATACCGCTTTACTCTCTGTTTACATGCTGTTCCTCTTGTTTTTAGCCACAATACAATCGTCTCCTTCCATTTGAACGGTTATTTGTCGGTATTTGCTATGGAGCACACCAGAAACAGAGCAAGCGAACGAACAAAGTTCTGTTTGAGAAGCAACTGTAAAAAAGCATATTGCTTAAATTTCAATTCCCACGGAGCTTCGTACACGCTTTTCCATCCTCCATGTGCTCGGTTTCTCCCAATCGCATTCGCTCTCTCATTCTCTCAGACACATACACTTTTCTCTCTGGTTTTCACAATCCAACGAAAATCCGCGTGCACATACACACACATTACGCGTACTGTGTAAACACGGTGTACGAACGAAACGGAACAATAAACGGGATCTACACATGGTTAACATGAGAGGCCGTGTGTACACAAACGGCCAATATCTCTTGGCATACCTTCTATCGTAATTTTTGTCACATCATTCCTGCTATTAACTTCAGCGTGCCGTAGCCACTGTGGCTCAGTATGAATTCGAATGGCATCGAGTCAACATCAACAGCAAGCAGATACGTACACTCAGTAGCTCATAACATTCTCTCCGGCGAACATTTAAACAAAGCACGTAATTCTAACGGACTTTTTATGCACATCGATCGCGCGTCGTGTGAATTCGATTTGAAAACATTGGTTTTTCTTGACAATTTTTTTCCTCTTCTTCTCTTTTCGTTTTTTTTTTATTTTGACCCGGTGATTTTGTTCCTCTCAATTGTTATTTTAAATCCATTTTCCAGTTTGTGTTTTGATTTAGTGAGTGTTTTTTTTTTCAAATAAAAATGAAAATAAATTTTTGAAAAAATTCAAAAAATAATGAAAATAATAATAATAAAATAAACAATAATAATATTAATAGAATGGTCGTGCCATTTAATTGTATGTTTTCATTGTCATTTTCACATTCGTTGATTGTATAAATGCAATTTTACCCGTGACCGAAAAAAAAAATTAAGTCAAAAAAGGAAATCGATCACCGTCGAGAGAAGAAAATAAAAGCGCACACACAAAATAGATTCATTCGCATTTCCGTAAACTGGTTATGATAAATGAACCAAGCAAATCGCTCACGTATTGATGACTTTGAATTAAAGCAGCATATTGATTTGATAAATATACGAACAATTCAATTGATAAATTCCATACGAACAACGAAAAAACACAATGTTTTTTTCCATCGATTCCATTTCTTTCGCAATAAACGATACGAACAAGAAAACAGATAACAATCACAGCGAAACGACGGAAAAAGAATAATAACAACAAATGTTCGAAACAAGAATAGACAAACATATACCGTGGAGGTCTTGGCACAATAAAATCAGCACGATCGAATAATAAACGTCATCAAAGTAAATAATGTCCAATGTTTGAGAGAAAGAGAAAATTAATTGCTTTTGAATGAACATAAAGAACAATTGAAAATTATTGTCAGATACATTATTCGAGCATTTAACGGGCGGATCCATTTTTATATTCATATGCATTGAAGAAAAAAAAAACGGGCAAAAAACAAGAAATAGATGAAAAATATTGCAAAAGAAAAGCAGGAAACGCGTTTATGTTATTGAACCAAAAATATAATAATTTCGGAAAATGTGCTGTTAATTTGAACAATTTGATTGTGATTGATGGCTGACAATTTACATGAATCGGTAAGTTGAAATGTTATTACTTTTTTGCGTTCATTTTTACCTTAAGAAAAAACGAGAATGTACATTGTACAACGTATTTCTATGATTCACATATGGTATGTGTAAAAGAGAAAAAAAAATAGAATAAATTTTCTCACCTGTAAAAACCCAAGTGATGCCTTCTTATCTACGTTTGCGAATTTATCATTTTCCACGACAAATTCTGTTTAAATTTAAACTTTGTTAATTTTGAATTTTCTTCAAAGTTTGTACCATGCTCATGACTTATGTAATTGCTAAATTGTCATAATCACTTGATTTACTCGATTATGAGGATTAAACGTGTGTAATTTTTGAGTTTGAAATAAGTGTGTCTATGTGAAGATAAATAAAAGTTCGAAAATTCAGTAAAATCTGACAGAAGAATCGCAGCGCGATTATCGCACATCGTGTAACATATCAAGAGAAAAACAGATAAACTCGAAATGAACGAGAATAGAAAAGTTTTAACAAATTATTATTGCGTTTTCATTTTGTGTGTATATGTGTGTGTGGTTTTACCGTGTTTTTAGATACAAGTAAATTTTGCTGGGTGAACATTTTTGGCATGTGTTTTTTTGAAAAAATGTAGTTTCATCCATTCCTCCTTTCACTTTGGAGCTTCGTCTCACATGGTCCCAACTTCAATTACCTGGACACCGGAACTGTGTGCCAAAATTAATCAGGTAATAGGAAGACACTAAATCACATGCACTTTTTCTTTGGTTTTGGTGTTGGTATTAGTGTGCTCTCATGGAAATCAGCTCCGCGAGCAGCATACACGTAAGCTCACTTCCGCATGGTAAACACCCAAAATGGCATTTGGCCAATATGGAGTCACATTTTCATTTGGTTTAAGTGATTTCGTCGATTTTCTTCTCCCAATTTATTCCCGAATCGATTTCGATTCCATCAACACAATAAGAGCAAACACTACTAGTCGGTTTTTTTTTCTCTGTTCTTTTCTCTGACTCTTTTTCAATTGGAGTGTGCGATTGGTATGTGCGATATTTGCATTTGAATTGTGGAAAATTTCATTTCACATATGTGCGATTCATTGGCTGGTGCGCGTGAGAAGAAAAAAAAAACTATTATAATATTTTGCATGGAAAATCTTCGATTATTTATATTTCAATCCATGGAAATTTCGGTTGGGTGAATGCAGATCAGAGAAAATCGACCATTCGTTTATTTATTTATTTCTCTTTTCTTTTGCCTGAATAATTTTGAATGCTTTTAACGATGATGTGATCATTGGAGATTACAATCATTGGAACGGTTTTTCTGATTCTTATCATTGCCCGTGTCGAATTATTTCCACAATGATGATGAAACAAAAAACCAACAACAACAAAGAAAAATAAGTATTTTCACCGAGACAAAACGATAAAAGAAGAAGAAAAAGAATCATTTCGAATTTAATTTATAAATATGGAGACAATGATTTTCCATTTTGCATGCATTTTGCTTTCGTTCATTTATTCAGTTTGAATAATCATTGGAAGCGATTTTTTTTTCACTCATTCATAATAAATGGTTGAGAGCAAGTACAACAATTTTGAAAATATCCAATTTACCGAAAGAGAAATGGAATTGGCCTCGCCATTTAGCCTCTTGGCCTTATGGTCGTATCGTGACGACGCTTTTTTTTCCCTTATTCTTGTCATGTTCTTGTCGCTGCTGGTTGGTTGTATAGCAGCAACATTATCTTGTCCAGACAATTCTACCGAAATAGATTCATAACACGATCTTCTTCATGTGCAAATGCATTTACGGACGATAACCCACTGAAGCATTCTTCGGTTGTTTAGATGTTGGCAGTTCAGGCGTGCACGTGCTCCCTCCACGGCAACGTGACGCTCAGCATGGTCGTTTCATTAAAGCGCGCTTAATGAAATTTGACTTTTTCCCCATTTATGTTTTCTTGATATGTTGTCGCTGTCACTGTCGTCGTCGTCATCGTCATCGTCTTGAATCCCACCTACTCATGGAAGGTGCATTCATTTTTGCTGCTTTCAGATTAGAACTTTGTCATATATTTTTTTGATCTCACTCTCGACAATAATTCGTGTGAACACTGAACACCACTCTCTTTCTCTCTCTCTCTCTCTCTCTCTCTCTCTCTCTCTCTCTCTCTCTCTCT